ACAGTCTAGACGAAAATAATCAGACATAGAGCATAACTAACGTAATACCTGCCAATACCTTAAGTTAATCAGTTTTCTAATTCCAACGCCAGATTAATCACATGAAAGTTACATCACATAAAGTACTCAAGACTCGCGCATGTATCAAAGTGTGCAACGCACTAACAAGCAAAAGATAACAGATAACTAATCAGAGAGGGTCCACAATATAAATTTTATATAATATATATATTATATATAATATATATATATATATAATATATATATATATATATATATATATATAATATATAATATTATATATATATAATATATATATATGGTTTAAAAAACTGACAAGTTAATAATTAAAACACTTGTACAGCTTTTAGTAAACGTTTGCACAATAAACCTTCCCAAATGTTACGCAAGTGTCTGGTTTACACACAATATAATGTACAGATACAATCATAGACAAAGTTGCTACAACTCTAGCACAGATCTAAATTCACGAAGCTTGGTAAATAATAACTGTATTCACTTAGAATGTAGAAGCAACTCTTTTCCTGAGTCTTAACAATAGACATAAAACACCAATAATATACAGATGTACATATATTTAAAAAAAAGATTAACATAATTGTATAAATTTTCATTTCGGGGAAAAGCCGTCATGTTTATGTAGGTGTTATATTTCCCAGGCGACCTGTCACCCTTACCTGTTGAATACTTTTCATTAAAATAATGATTCCATAACATTAGGATAATGGTAAATGTTTCATATCAAACTGTAAAATTAAATCACTGGGAGATAAATATAATATACTTCAGTCACTTTAGAGGCGACCTTGCTGACCACTGCACCATACTGCCGTAATATTCACTTACTGAGTTTTACTTAGCAAGTCAATGGTAACGATGGTACTGGTCTGACGGTACTAGCCACTAATGTTTCTATCCCATCTGTTACCATCGCTGACTGCAGTTGTGACTAGTACAGTAACAGTAACGTACAAGAAAGGTGAACAAAAACAGCATTTCCTCAGAGAGGAGCTCAGCTTGTTAAATATGGCAACTACATGCAAACACTTCCCATATATGATAATATAACACAAGTGATAAAAATAAATAGATAAGGGTAGACGTTATGGCAGGGATGGAGACACAGAAATCTGTGCTCAGTAAATACGTCTACCCGGGTAGCCTGGAAACCTGGTTCAGCTGGAAGAGGAGAACTTTCCAGCCAGCCTGACCAACATGGTGAGGCAATCCAGTTAAAATTTTATTTTAATTATGTTTTATAGCTATTTACTTTATTTGACTTTCTTCGCATGTTACTGTATCTCACAGCATGATCTTTGTATCTCTGTTGTTACTGTATCTCACAGCGTGATCTTTGTATCTCTGTTGTTACTGTATCTCACAGCATGATCTTTGTATCTCTGTTGTTACTGTATCTCACAGCGTGATCTTTGTATCTCTGTTGTTACTGTATCTCACAGCATGATCTTTGTATCTCTGTTGTTACTGTATCTCACAGCGTGATCTTTGTATCTCTGTTGTTACTGTATCTCACAGCAAAGACCTTTTTATCTCTGTTGTTACTGTATCTCACGCGTGACCTTTGTATCTCTGTTGTTACTTTTATCTCATAGCGTGATTTGTATCTCGTTGTTACTGTATCTCACAGCGTGACCTTTGTATCTCGTTGTTACTGAATCTCATAGCGTGACCTTTTCATCTCTGTGTTACGTGTCTCTCAGCATGATCTTTGTATCTCCCGTTTTACTGTGTCTCACAGCATGACCTTTGTATCTCTGTTACTGTAGCTCACAGCGTGATCTTCGTATCTGTTGTTACTGTAGCTCACAGCGTGATCTTTATATTTCTGTTGTTACTGTATCTCACAGCGTGAAAATTTTATTCTCTGTTGTTAAATGTATCTCACAGCGTGATCTTTGTATCTCTGTTGTTACTGTATCTCACAGCGTGATCTTTATATCTCTGTTGTTACTGTATCTCACAGCGTGATATTTGTATCTCTGTTGTTACTGTATCTCACAGCATGATCTTTGTATCTCTGTTACTGTATCTCACAACGTGATCTTTGTATCTCTGTTGTTACTGTGTCTCACAGCGTGATCTTTGTATCTCTGTTGTTACTGTATCTCACAGCATGATCTTTGTATCTCTGTTGTTACTGTATCTCACAGCATGATCTTTGTATCTCTGTTGTTACTGTATCTCACAGCGTGATCTTTGTATCTCTGTTGTTACTGTGTCTCACAGCGTGATCTTTGTATCTCTGTTGTTACTGTATCTCACAGAATGATCTTTGTATCTCTGTTGTTACTGTATCTCACAACGTGACCTTTGTACCTCTGTTGTTACTGTGTCTCACAGCGTGACCTTTGTACCTCTGTTGTTACTGTGTCTCACAGCGTGACCTTTGTATCTCTGTTGTTACTGTGTCTCACAGCACAACCTTTGTATCTCTGTTGTTACTGTGTCTTTAACATTAGATACAAAGATCATGTTATCTGTGTATCACAGCATGAGCTTTATATCTCTGTTGTTTCTGTGTCTCACAGCATGATCTTTGTATCTCTGTTGTTACTGTGTCTCACAGCATGATCTTTGTATCTGTTGTTACTGTGTCTCACAGCATGATCTTTGTATCTCTGTTGTTACTGTGTCTCACAGCGTGATCTTTGTATCTCTGTTGTTACTGCGTCTCACAACACGACCTTTGTATCTCTGTTGTTACTGTGTTTCACAGCATGATCTTTGCATCTCTGTTGTTACTGTGTTTCACAGCATGATCTTTGGATCTCTGTTGTTACTGTATCTCACAGTATGACCTTTGTATCTCCGTTGTTACTGTATCTCAGCATGATCTTTGTATCTTTGTTGTTACTGTGTCTCATAGCATGATCTTTGTATCTCTGTTGTTACTGTCTCACAACATGATCTTTGTATCTCTGTTGTTACTGTACCTCACAGCATGCTCTTTGTATCTGTTGTTACTGTATCTCACAGCATGCTCTTTGTATCTGTTGTTACTGTATCTCACACAATGATCGTTGTATCTCTGTTGTTATTGTATCTCACAGCATGATCTTTGCATCTCTGTTGTTACTGTGTCTCACAGCATGATCTTTGTATCTCTGTTGTTACTGTATCTCACAGCATGATCTTTGTATCTCTGTTGTTACTGTGTCTCACAACACGACCTTTGTATCTCTGTTGTTACTGTATCTCACAGCGTGACCTTGTTCTTGTTTTTCTGTGTCTCAAACATCACCTTTGTTCTTTGTTGTTACTGGTCCACACGGACCTTTTTATCTCTGTTGTTACTGGGTTGTACATCATGATCTTTTTATCTGTTGTTTTTTGCGTCTCACAGTTTACCGTTGTGTTTCTGTTGTTTTCTGTGTCTCACAGCAAACCTTTGTACTCGAGTTAATTTGTACATAATTTTCCCTGGTTAATAAGGGAATTTTTTCCCCGTTTTAAAAAGGGAAATTTCCCTTTTAATAAGGGAAATCTTCCCGTTGTTAGGAAGTCTTCCTCGTTAAAAAGAATTTTCCCTCGTTTTAAAAAGGGAAATCTTTTATAGTATATATTGGTCGATCTAGGAAAACTGCGGATAAGACCAGGAAAATGCGAAATGATGGGGTTTGCAGCAGGGGAAAAGTTTTAAAATTATTAATCATGGGCCCCAAAGGGGGAAAAGAGACTTATTCCATGCATTTAAAAAGTAGGGACAAAAGTAGAACAAAAAATTCGGGGGTGCAGGGGGCAGATCCGGGATAATGATGTGGAAAAAAATTGATAAAGGTTCTCTAAGCACAGGTGCTGTCAGGGGGTACAAGTTTAATATGTTTAATCATCCCCCAGGGATAGAGAGATTTATTTCTGTGTAATTACTAAGTATAGGAAGGTAGGTAATGATCACTTCTGACACCCCAAACTCAATCACTCTGATAGATGGGAGAGGCAGTACAAAAAAGGATTCACGGTGATGCAGGTGGGCAGATTCCAGGATAATGAGTGTGGAAAAAGAATGTGATAATGGGTTGGTCTTCATAAGCTCAGGTGCTGTCAGGGGTACAAGATTTAATATGTTTAAACATCCCCCAAGGGGATAGAGAGAGAGAGAGGCTTATTTCTGTGTAATTACTAATTATAAAGAAGGTAGGGTAATAAACACTTTTGACTCCCCAAACTCAATCACTCTGAAGATGGGAGAGACAGTACAAAGGATTCAGGTGACTGGGTACAAGCTTACCATCTCCGAGGGAGTCCCCCCCCCCCTTTCCCGGGCCTGCGACTCACTGACGCGACTGTTGCTACTTCACAACAACAACACTGCTGGGTTTAAAGAACGCGGTAATGGATGGGCAGCCGGTCGCCCGAGGGAGTGTTGCTCGCCCGTCCGTACCTCAGCAAAAAAAAAAGGTTCTTCCGGGTACTACGGTAGTGTTTATTCTTGCCAGCTGCTAGATCTTTCCAGGTGGGGGAGGCTTAAAGCAGTGAGAAAGGCCATCTAGGGAAGACCTTTGTGCTGATAGAGCTCTTATAGGAACTTTGACATATACATTTTCCTCTTACCCACTCTCAGATGGGGAGAGGCTTAAGTGGTGCGATATTGTTTATATATAATATATATATGTTTAGACTAGAGAAGATAGTAATATATAGTTATATGTAAATAAAAATCAGAGTTTGTCAATATTTTATTAATTCACATACAAAAGGGCAAAAGCTGTGCAAAGTTTTTTAGCGCGAGCAAAGGGGCGAAACTGTGCGAGTTTTACTGGTTAGACTGAATGACTGCGCTCCTCTGTTTCACTTTCTGTAAGATTGATAACCTCCCGCTCGAAAATGATTTCCTTTCAGGTACATCATCATCATCTGCCGTCTTTACCCCTTCTGCCGGCTTTAACCCTTCTGCTGGCTTTACTGCGTCTCCAGCATTTACTCTCACGTCGGGGGTTTTCCTTCCTTCTCCGACTGACCGTCAGGTGCGCTTCAAGGTCGCCAGTTTGTTCAGCACCTGCTGCGGCAGTGACCTCAACAGAGTCATCAGATTGAGCAGTGAGCGTAGAGAGGTCCACAACGAGGTCATCAGACTGACATGAGGGAAGGCTCTGCGTTTCATCGTTGTCGAGATCTGGTTCTTTCTTCATAGGCTCCTCTATATCAGATGAACTGATCCCATCTTCCACAGGCTGTAAGTCATAAAGAGAACATATTTATCACTTTCAAATAAAGGAGTGGGACTCGTCTCTAATCTACCAAAGGAGGGAACATAGAAAGACATACCCTTTCCTGAGGAAGCCTATGTTTGCGTTTCCTGCTATCATCACAATGACACCGCTTTAGGAGTTTGAAGCCGGCGTGTTCCTTCCCTTCCAATCTACCAGCCGATAAAATCAAAACTTTACAAATTCTGACTGGCCCAGTGAAAACTGTTGAAGAAAAAAAAGGAGACTCAACTTTAAAATTATTATAAGTCTCTTGCGCTCGTTTTGTTTCGTTAATATTCAAAGAGAAGTATCCAATCTACCAGCCGATAAAATCAAAAACTTTACAAATTCTGACTGGCCCAGTGAAAACTGTTGAAAAAAGAGACTCAACTTTAAAAATTATTATAAGTCTCTTGCAGTCGTTTGTTTCGTTAATATTCAAAGAGAAGTTTTTAGCAAAATAAAATGTCTCGCTTACCAGAATCGAGAATGCCTGCTTCCTTCGCCATGATGAGAGTAAAAGGCTATGGAGAGGTCAGCCTCCGGGCTCTTATATACAGCTCAGAGAGGGCCTTACCAGCCAGGAGGGGTATTTGGGGGATACTCTCGTCAGAGGTGACCTTCCCCACAGAGGGAAGCACAAAGATAACCTTGACTTAGGCAAAATGTTTTTTCACAAGGAGGTAACATTTTAAAATTCTCTCTAGCATATGCTATCACTAATCTGTCATTGATAAAAAGCGATTTTTCCGAGAAATTTTTTTTAAAAAAATATAAAGCTCTTTCTAATCCCACAAGGCTTGCTTTATGAATAAACATCATAACATATAGACCGCAAGTGAGTGAAAAATCACTTTGTGTTCTGTCGGATAAACGATATAAATATTTAATTTTATTTAGTTTAAAAAATTTTTTTAAATTTATGCCATAATTCTCTGGTTTTTTCCCGTAACTGTCAAAGAAGAAGGATAGACTATTTTTCTTGTCCAAGAGAAGAGAAAAAAAATGACCCATTACTTTGAGCTGTACGAAGAAGAATATTACTTACAAGCACTATGGGCCTGTCTGAGGGATAGTCATCTAATCTTATTTGCTGTAGAGCGTCTATAGTGAAACAGCCAATAATGTGACTTTATTTCCTAGGGCGGGAATTAAACTATATTTATTTCTGCGCAATTCATTTTTATTTATGCTCGCACATCCACAATGAACAGATCTATTCTGGTCGATGGATAAAACACCAGTGGTCTTGAGCAATAATAAAACTACCTTATTATGAGGGCGGCTTAGAGAACTGTAATTCAATTCTCAAGTTACCAGATTTTTCAATCGGGAGAGCGTCTTCCACTTGGCTGTCGTTAAATTTAAAAATTTTTATT